CACATTGACAAATAATAATTTATTTGCTACCCAATAATCATGATCGATCAGATTAACTACAGTATACTAATGTTCGAAATAGGAGAGTAAAGGTTCTCGCCGACTGTTCTGGAAGGGTGAAGCTGACAACGTGGGCTTTGAGAGAAACCGACATGTCGTTAAAAAGGAAGTAAATAAAAAGCGGAGATTGTGGCAGAAATCTCTTACTGATGGGAATTCTGTATCCATAAACGCATACAAAGCACAGAGGAACTTAGTCAAACGACTTACCCTCAGGACACGGAAAAATTTTGAAAAAGACCCACTGAATCGTGCTGTGGAAAATCCGAAATTATTCCACAGCTAATAAGGAACAGCATACGAAACAGAGATCCAATCCCCCTCCTGAAGACAAGCGGGAACGTAGAGATTAGTGAGGATGGAGAAAAAGCTGAACACCTTTCACAGGTCATCCATTCAAACTACGTGTGACGGGGGACAGGCTGGACACATGAAAGTTCTCCTCCTCTAACAGAGCGCCTAAAGCTTGGAAGGCCCTGCCTCTGAATGTCGTTATGTCTGCTTCCGTCGAGGTCTTTAAGAGGAATCTGGATCTGTATAGCAGTGTCCACTCAATTACCACCCGACCTCTGTAACCTTGACAAACCCCGCTGTTATAATACTACTTGCTTTATTTCAGTAACATTTTAAATTGAACTTCTTATTGTCCCTAACCCATCGTCTACGCCTACTGACATGCACCTATGCAAATTTTGTCCCCGGGTATATTATTTATTTCCCTGCACTCGAACCGACCGCTGTACTACACTTTAAAGCGGAGAAAAACAAGAGTTTCCTTTACACCTCATCAATTTTGAACATTATCTCCCTGGGTCCTTTTTTTAACAGACGGCTGCAAGGTCATATGCCACAACAGTCCAAGCCCTAGTAGCAATAGACATCGGGTGGATATGCGGATAATAGCTATTTATCGAGATACTAGATCTGGCACGTCATTGGTTATCACTCTTATGCAATCTGACCGTTGATTGGTTGGCGTTTGTATGGTGCGTTGCCATTGAGCGCGAATGTGCATACCAGCCATTATCTCGTGCGCACGACACAACTTTCGGCATCTCAAACGATATTAATCCGCTACGAGGCGATCGTTAGTCGTCTTTTCAATCGTGCTCTCGAATGACAGCCAGGAAAAGAGGCATTTGTCTCAGCAGACAGAAGGACTTCTACACGGAAAGCTCAAACTAGCAAAGAGAGATCCCACAAGTTCCATCAGATGTTTGAGGAATGCAGGGTAAATGTTTCGTTTTTCACTCCCAACCAGCTACCCAATGTGTATCTCACAGCATACAATATCCGAAATCAGCTAAATAAGACCAACTGTGTTACTAATCACATCTTCTTCTGGGATAAACTGCAAAAGTTTGCATGCATCGTTTATTGAGTATGAGTAGAACCAAGCCATTTGTTGAATTCGCTCCATCATACATTATGTATGAGATAAATCCACCACTGCCACAAGAATTAGACGCAGTCGTGACTTGGGCGTGTACTTGCTTGCAGTGAACTGAACTTTCATTATGTCTGCCTCTCCCTCTCTTCCCAAACAGGACAGTTCGGTCACAGGTTTCGGCGGACAAAAAACAGCCATCACACCACGTGCAACGATCCCTGATGAAGGGTGTGGGGGGGGGGGAGCCGTGAATATTCGTAGGTATGCGGTAGCATGTCGACTGCATCCTATAAATACTGCAGCTCCTTATGCATGAACCACCCGTATCTGCTTTTCTCTCTGATGATGGGTTCAAGCAGTAATCCGAAAATTCAGGCTAATAAAGCTCTTCTACCAGCGATCGTGTCTCCTTCTTCAAGACTGCTTCCTGGGACTCGTCTCTTCGCTTCTATTGGTTTCGACGCTGTCCGACATGTGCCCCGCAGCATGGCCAGCTCAAGGACGGTGGTTTGCACGTGAATTAGGTTATGATGATAATAGACTCGCGCCACATCCATCGCAACCTCTCTGCCTTCACTCGCATGCGCCTGTTGTCAAGGTATCAATCAGGAGGCGGGATCGAGCGTATGGATTAACAAGCCTAAACAGGTCATTTGCGTGTGTCACACACCGCCGGTCAGAGCAAATAGGACCAGAATTTCACAGAATAAGAAAGGCAGCGAATCGGAGCCCAACCGAGTAGGAGTGCCATAGGGTCACATTAAAAAGGAGCCAATGCAGTCTGACTCTCCGTCCTGAGCGGAGAACCGGGCTGTTCCGTCTGCTGACAGCCTCCCCAGTTACAGATTTTAGCCAATTATGATAGCTGGAAAGCATGTCAGATTGTTTACAGTAAGCAAGGCGCGCTGGGAGAGTCGAATTCTCTCTCCCTCTCTTCCCACTTCCAGGCGTCCGTCCACTATCCGAGCCGACTAGCTTTCCGATACAGAGGTTGGATATTTGTCGTTGACAGAGCTACAGAGCAAACTGCGCGTGGCACACGGGACCCTAGGATTTCACACAAAGAGGATAACCTGCTTGGAGAAGGCCATAGAGGTCACATTAAGAAGGCGCCATTGATCTTGAATATCAGCTTACCAGTCGACCACTCCACATACAAACATACAGTTGGTGTGCTAAATCATTAAATGTTAACCGAAATTCTGAAATGCGTTTTCCTTTCGAAAAGATTATCTAAGTAGGGTTTAAAATTAATCATCGTACAGCACAAATCCTCGCGATGCTGGCTTTCGAACGAACTTCTTTCCGGCTGTATGCAAAAACCACACACTGAATGTAAGGGGCATGAATGTTTCTCATCAATTTTTGATGTCCTTAAAAATTCTATTATATTTCATAGAAAACATGCATAAAAAATATTCATTCTTTTTCTCATTTAGTAGAAATTTACGTATTATTCTAATTTTATACTCGAAGAAAGGGTATACTTCGATTTTAAAAAAAGTTTCTAATTATGAGCTTTTTATTACCATTAAATGCCGGTTCATAAAACATCGTGTCTATGCATTTACTATGTTGCTCGTAAAGTTTACAATATGGTTCATATCCACTGCTAAATTTTATGAACCTCATATTGTCTCCCCTGAAGACCGTAGAGGACTGTATGGTTTTCCGTACGCGGAAAATATACGGCTTGTAGCTTGGAAACCCTGAAGACAGGTCGGGTTCCAAATTGTTCGGGAATGGGGAAAGTTTTTGAAAACCGAATTATATCCTTCCTTCCAAACGAAAACACATTTCAGAATTTCGGTTAACATTTCATGAGTTAGCACACCTACTGTACACTGGGATGACTGCGAGGTCTGGCTTGAATTGTACAATGCGTGGGCTAACTCATGAAATGTCAACAGAAATTCCGAAATGCGTTTTCGTTTCAAAAGGATTAATTAAGTAGGGCTGTAAAACTAATAATTGTACAGCATAATTCTATAATAATTCAGTTACCAGATAATGCCGACTTTCGAACGAATTTCTCATGGGCTACATGCAAAAACCAGACTTTGTAAAAAATGACTGCTTGCGTAGCATGAATTTTCCTCATAGATTTTCGATGCCCTTAAATATTCAGTTATATTTCATAGAAAATATATATATATAAATATTTATTATTTTGCTCATTCGGTAGAAAATTACGTTTTTTTCAATTTTATACTCGAATGAAAGGTATAATTCGGCTTTCAAAAAGTTTCTCATTGCGAGATTTTTTAATAACCTGAAATGGCCGTTCATAAAACGTCATGTTTCTGCATTTACCAATATGACTCGTAAAATTAACAAGATGGCTCAAACCCACTACTGAATTTTATGAACCCCGTATAGTCTCCTCTTAATACCGTGGACAAATGTAAGGACTTCCGTACGCGGGAAGTATACGGCTTGTAATTTGAAAAGCTTTAAATGCAAGTGTAACGGCGGGCCGAGTTCAAAATTATTCAGGAATTTGAAAAGTTTTTAAAAACCGAATTGTTCCTTTCCCTCTAGTATAAAGTTCGAAAAAGACGTAATTTTCTACCGAATGAGCAAAATAATAAATATTTTTATATATGTTTTTTATGAAATGTAATTGAATATTTAAGGGCATCGAAAATCTATGAGACAAATGCATGCTACTGAAGTAGTCATTTTTTACAGAGTGTGGTGTTTGCGTGTGATCGGAAATAAGTTTCTTCGAAAGTCGACATCCTGAGGTAATTGAATTATTATGGAATTACGCTGTACGATGATCAGTTTCACAACCCTACTTAATTAATCTTCTCGAAACAAAAACGCATTTCGGAATTTCTGTTGACATTTCATGAGTTAGCTCACCTAGTGTAATGTGGCAACTCTCTAAGCCAGGGTTTGTGGCACACCGTGGTAGTTTTAAGCGAACCAGATTGCTTGTAGCTGGGAATCATGCTTTGAGACCGTCATCTCACTACCTCTCTTTCCGATTTTCCCTGTCGGTCAACCAGCTGATTTCGGAGTTGAGCGCAGTGGCTGGCACGTACCACACACAACCAGGTTTTCACAAAAAAGGATGCTCTGCGGGGATCTGACATGTGTTAGGGCATCAGAGGGACCACATGGAGAAAAATCTGAGGAGAACGTTCCTCTGTTGAATGAGGTGCTTCTCCTGTGCTTGCGTTGGGTGATGGATGACGGGTTCATGTGTGGTGTATGCGATGGTTTTCCTAAAACGGCTGTTGCGGTGAACCAACATGGAGGACTAGATCGGAGTCTGCAAGGCTTTCTCGGGAGTGCGCGCCAATAACAAATGACAAATTTAAGGTGTGGTGGAATGCCCAGTTGCAGGCTCGCACAGCGTTAACTGGGTTCTGAGGCGTGCTCCACCTTTCCCTGTTGTATCAAATCGTGGTCAGTATGCCTACTGGACCACCGGACGTGGTAGTACGCCTAGCTGCGGTTTTCGCCATGTCAGGCACTTACACCATCTCCCGCTTTCGGCTTTCTTGACACTTGGTACAGATGGTGAGAAGAGAGCGCGTAGATGCTGAGCATGTCTACTATCACTATGAAAGAAGCCACGTGTAAGTTATTGCCCCGGCTGTCGCTCTGTTGTTGAACACATGGTCGAACTGTCATGTTGATGCGGGATGCGTAGCGGTGGTCTGCGATGCTTTGCCACAGATTATTGTGGAAACGTATGTGACCGAGCGGGCCCACGCGCGACTGAAATAAAGCCATAGATCTGGGCAGCTTTGGCTGTAATTCTGTCAGCGTGTGGCGAGACATCAAGATAATTATAATAATAATAATATCTGTGAAGTTTAAACCTAAATCCTTGATGGTGGTACATTCAGTCATAGGTTTGCCCTGACAAGAGACAAGAGATCGGCGATCGTGTCTCCATCTTCAGGAGAGAACTCCATTAGCCATTTTGAGCTCCAAGCTGAGAGAGCAAGCAATCAGCATGGGTTTGCTCCAGGCAATGAAGGGTCGTATATTTATTGAAGGAATATACACCATTGAGATTATCAGCATAAATAAATGATTGAGAATGTTTAACTGTCAACGAGATATAATTTATATACAACAGGAACAAAGGAGGACCTAAAACGGTACCTTGCAGGACACCAATTACAATACGGCTCTCATCGGAAAATGAAGATCTAATTAAAACCTTTTGTTTACAATTAGACAAATGATCATTATGAAGAGAAGTTAACAAATTGATAAACGATATATGACACGATTCACAAGAACGATCGGGTACTAAGCCATGTTGGGAAGAGCTAACAACTTTATTAGCTATGCAGCAGTCCGTAATTATCATGACAATAATATTTCGATGTGTTTGGCAAGAGAGAGCGTTTTAAGAACACTTCGATTATTTTGACCTTCAGAACGACAGCCGCATTTAAATACTGAAATAATAACAGAAGTTTTCGAATGATCAGGAATAAACCATTCTCGAGAAAGATTGAAAAGAGTTTTCTAGGCACATACCGTTAACTATGTTGGTTCTGTTCTGTGAACACAATTGCTATTTGGAATAAATTATCAAGGAGTGCGAAAATTCTGCAAGATTATTCTTTGTCAAAGAGAACTATTACTGTTTTTTGCATTAAGAAAAACTCGCCTAAATTTTGAGCGCTGAATATAACGATCTTATCTACCGTAGTAATGGCGTTCGTGGTCTCTAATCCCCACGACCGGTCTCACCAGGGACAATTTATTCAGTCAACAGTGACAGCTGTGCTTCAGTGCCTCTGTTTGATCCAGTCCCAACTTCATGATAAAAAATGGAGACTGAAACTACCCGATGCAGTTGCCCCTCCCTATTTTGACTGTCGTCATTTTATGTGCAACAGTTTTTTCCTCCTGAAACCCCCAAACTTTAAGAAAGACCATTCTCTTTATTTCTTTATCAGGAGTTTTACACTGCTGGTCGGATTTGCGTTTAATCTTTCTCTGACAATGCCTGTACAGTGGCATTAAATACAAGTATTATTATAAGCGACTCTCCGATAAGCCGACAGAAGTACCCTACTAACTGCGAAGACACAAATTCTGCTGCGATTGGCCGATCACTTCAGAATCGTCCTTAACCGCCTCTCCACCATCTTAGACGGCGTCAGCGGCCGTCTGGTCCAGGTAAAGACCGACGTGGATCTCGACCAAACACCCTTTCTGCACGAAACCATCAAGGCCGCGCAACAGCTGTCCAGCGGGAAAGCGCGCAAATCGGACGTGATCGATGCTGAGATATACAGGCACGGTGGCCCCCAAATTGCTGATAATCTTACGGCGATCTTCCAGGAGATGTGGCGTCAAGTGGAAGTCCCTCAGAATTTTAATGACGCCTCAATCGTTCATCGCTACAGGTGGAAAGGGAGTCGTCAATCTGTGACAAACACCGAGGCATCTGCCTGTCAAACATCGCCGGGAAGATCTTCGCTCTCATTTTTCTTAACCGGCTAAACGACCATCTGAAACAGGATGTCCTTCTGAAAAGCCAGTACAGTTTCCGCCGCCATCGTGGGACCACGGACATGATCTTTGTCGCCCGCAAACTTCAGGAGAAGTGACCGGAAATACTGACCCACCTATATTCTACCTTTGTGGATCTAACGAAGGCCTAATACACGGTGAATCGCGATGGACTGCGGAAAATCTTGCAGAAATTTGGCTGTCCCGAACGATTCACTCAGATGGTGCATCACCTCCGCGGTGGCATGATGGCCCGCGTCACGGACAATTGAACCGTATCATAGGCATTGATAGTAACCAATAGATTGAGGCATGGCTGCGTCCTCACGCGTAGCCCCTTCAGTCTCATGTTCTCTGTCATGCTGATTGACACCAACCGTGACGAACAGCTCGGGATCCACGTCGACTACCGAACAGACGGCCCACTCCTCAATCCGCGACTGATACACTCCCAGTTGCATTTCCAATAACAACGGAACATTTTCTCGGACTACTTGACCGTCTGCAGTCTTTTATCACACAATTTCTCTAAGGGTTGTTGACATATTACTAATCGGATGGTTTCCAAACCGTCAGGAAATGTGGAGTTTGAAATAAATTTTTTTATCATCCACGCTCTTTGCAGACTCACAACGGCACGATACCTCAGAATGACGACTTCGAAGTAGGCTGAAAAGTGTTGGAGCATGAAACACAGCCTATTATTCCCGTTTCATTATGTCTGCCTAGCAACCACCCTGCCTCATTCTGCCCGACGCATTCGAGATTACAGCTGGGTGTTCAGTCAAATTCACGTAATTGAGGCAAATAGACGTGAACCTCTGAGTGGCCTATTTGCAACGTAAAATTAGGCGCGGTGTACAGAAAAGCACGTGAGTTGAAATAATTTAAAAAGGCCCATAATGTTGTGACGAATTGAGCGTGAGTCTCAGGGGCTGGTATCGGTCTTTCATTGTTCTTATTCGTTTTAATGAATAAATATGTCAAGATTTCTTTTCAAGCATTGTATCGATGGTGACATCAAAACATGCGCGAGGAGGGCATTCCATGGCTTGCCCACTCGGGCAGAGAAGGAGAACTTCCGCACATTCAGCTTTCCTGCTGCGGGCGCAGCTTTAACGGGTGACATCGGAGGTTGATCGTGGTAGCAAATTTATGAAAGTCCTTAAAGGCCAGGCTGTAGCCCAATCCCATTACACTACGAAATGTTTAAAGAGATCACCCGCAATTGCCTATATCTCGAAGGGAAGCGGTTCCAATTTGTAAGAAGAGTTGCATTAGGAAAAGAGCTTTAACCCCTTACCAATTTCGTGGATCTCCTCTGACCTCTTTCGAGATAATTTCGATCTTCAACCGCCCATGACCTCTAGGCTTTTATGCCATATTCCAAGTGTGGCCGCACGAATTTTTCGAATATCTTCGAGAAGACGCCTTCGTCAGAGTCCAAAAATGCTCGCTTTAAGGCGCACAGTACGGACATTGCGTTTTTCTCTCTCTCTCGAACTTTGAGCGGATAGTTTTAAGGGAGTTTACAATCAGTACGCCGAGGTCCTTTTTGGCTTTGACATCTCGTAAAGCCACACCATCGAAAAAGCCGTCTCTTTTGCAGTCGGATCTGGCCAGGTTACCTAGACAAAGTAAAATAGACTTGCTGATGTTGAACCACATGAGCTAACATGTGGACCACTTCTCCAACCGCTTTAAGTCCATTTTAAGTCTATCTTTCTCGGTAGGACCCCGGATCACGATTCTTATTTTAATGTCGTCAGCAAAAAATGGCTGTTTTACAGTTCAAAGCTCTTGCATGATCGTCCACAAATATTAGGAACAAAGTGGGTCCCAGTACTATATCCTGGGGAACATCACTCTTGACCCGAGTAAAATCTGATTCTCCCTGGTGCCGACCCACAAGAAAGTTTTGGATAATTTTCAGGAAGTTAATTTGATGTGAACCGTGTGCCTCTCGTCAAGAGCTCGGGTCCTGCTATGCAGAGATTGCAGTAAGTTTGTCGAACCGGACCTTCCCTTCCGGAACCCGTGTTGGTAGTTCGATAGCAAGTAGTGGACTTCCAGAACTGCACCAATTCAATCTTTATGATCCTCCCCATAACATTGAAGAGAATGCCTGTCAGGTTTATGGGCCTGTAATATGTCGCAGACGTTCTGCTACCGCCTTTGCATAGTGGAGTTATATACCCCAGCTTCCAATCGATAGGGAGTACCCCAGTGTCAAACGACGTTTGAAAGAGCATCGGAAGAGGCATAAGAAGTTACCTGGCAAGTTCTTTGAGAAGCTTAAGTGGAATCTCGTCTGGTCCTGGAGACTTCGATTAATTCAATGAGCCTAATTCTTTTCGGATACGATATTCTGAAAATCGTTTATTGCTTATGCATGGAGCCGACAGTTATCCTGTATAAGGAGGAAGGAACCTTGCCATGTTTATGCAGACTGGCTGGAAAAAACTAAAAAAAAATACACAGGTTTATCCCTACTATCAGCAATTCCAACGCCATTGGTAGCACTTATTAAGGAGATTTGATGCCTGTTCCTTCTACTTGACAATTAGGAAGGAAATATGAAAGAATAAGGATAAAGGAGAATTTAGCAAGCAAGATATGGAAAGAAATAAACAAAATTATACGAAGGAAAAGCGAAATTATTCGTATTGTAATAGAAATCCCGACTCTCTAATCGTGCTAGGTCCATTTACCCAGGTCTGCGCCGCCTGAACAATCCATCAATCGTCTCACAACTACCTGACAACAAGCTTAGACCAAGTTATTTAGCAAACCGTTTGACTTATCCAATCAGTAACCCTTATCATGAACCTCATAACTGCCAAGCACTAACTTAACACTAAGTCATATTTCAGACCATAAGCCTAGCCCTAACCCTAACCCCAAGTACTAACCCCAACCTCACACCTAATCCTGGCACTAAGTCTAACGCAAACCCTAACCACAAAACTGAGCACTAACAAACTATAAACCTGAACACTGGCTCCGACCCCATCCACAACCCTAACCCCGACCCTGTCCCTATTCCCTAATCCCAGCCCTAACCCCAATCCCAAAACTAATTTCTACCCTAATCTCTAACCCCAACGCTAATCCCAGCCCTTACCCCTGGCCCCATCCGAAGCCCCGACCATAACCCTAACCAAACCATAGGACCAAACCCAGCGGCAAACTTCATCATGAACTGAACTCCTGACAAACCCTAATTCACCACCCAAACTTAACCCAACTCTATCGGAATTTGAAATTCGTGCGAATTAACCGGGTTGAAATTACAACAGCCAGCGCCATTTATCAGGTCCCACGATCTGTATAGGGTTGTTTGTACGATGAGACACTTTTGGGGCGTGGAACTGGGATGGCGATGACATAAATGCGTGTCGGTGAAGATGGTCGGTGTTCCTCCTTCTCAACATCGCCGACCCTCCTTCACGCGACTTACTGTAATACTCGCGTCGCCCTTCCTCTCTGTGTCGGCATCGCTCTCGGCCCTCCCCTGTCGTTGCCCACAGCGATGCGTACACCACCGGCTGTTTAGTTGGCATATCACTGTAGCCTCTCTATCCAGAGAGGTTATCCTTTGTTGCAGCTCACCCCGTTTGTACAATCAATCACATTTATGTGCATTTCCAGTTTCCATCTCTCCCAGTTTACCTTATCGCCTACCTAACCTTTCTTCTTTCCTTGCGCATTGATGAATACTGCTCCATGCCAACGACTCGGTTCAGCTCGGTTTCGACCAGGATCTTCTTCCGGGACTTCGCTACCTCGCTATATGCTGTCCTTGACGTCCTCGGCCACTACACATTGGAATCAGCCAGGAATATTCTAAGAACACTCGCGGGAAAAAACTAACCAATTATCGAGTAGGCGTTGGTGACCAATGGGAAAGGCGTGGGCACCGACGACCCTACAAGATTCCACTTGCAATTTGGCCAGACGGTAGTCGAAGGTCTTTCAATTCCTTGGTGTCACATTCGGTAAGCAACCATGTTAGTGCTAGTAAAGTGAACCAGAACATGCTTCATGGACCCGTTGTTTGCCGTGTATACTTTTCACTTGCGAAGGCACTTACCGTCTTACAGACAACATCCTCTATGAGCTCAATGCTCTTACAAGTACATTCACCACGCGCAGTCGTTACAGACGTCTAGGGGACTGTTGACTACCCCACTTTCCAATTTTTTTTGAAACCATGCGGCTCGCTCATACACTGGACGCGCGCCATTGAAGCTTTCGATGCCACACCAGCGGGTTTTACCTGCCAGACAGACGAGTCAGCCAGTAATCTGACTAGCACCCTACTGACAATCCGAAGGTATTATGAATTAACAGCTCGCTAGTGTGCTGTTACCAGAACGGTGCCGTATTTGATTGACTAAATGATTACAGTGCTATCACTGAAGTGAAAAGCACAAGTTACTGCAGTCATGACTGAAAAATACCTCCTGGTTGCTATTTAAGCCCATCCCGAATAGTCATTAGTTAATTTGGCCAAACGTCTTTTTAGCTTGTGCACAGATACTGCGTTGTTTGTCTGTGGACCTGATGTCATGTTAAATAGTTTGTTTTCGTGTTCTACGTAGCGCATACGAAGAAAGCGGCACCATACTTGAGATTGTGACGTGCTGAGGATCTAGGAAACATGAATATGCTGTAGGCGGATGTGCTTTGTGGGAATTTAGTGGGGAGCAACATACGTGTCTCGTTACGTTTCTCATGGAACCCGACTCTAAAACCGGAAAGTTGGGGTTACGCACAGGGTAACGTTCCGGAACTCAATGTAAGCTTACCCCATCGTGGCTTATGGAATTATTATTATGCACCCATCATAATCCACTTAGCAATTGGTTCTATGGTTGCCTCATCAGGTCGCCGTTTTGGGAATTTTTCTCACAACTAATTTGCAACAGCGTTCTAGATGGCGGTGACAATCGCATTCACAATTAGAAAACCGACCTATTTCAACATCATTCACCAACTGCCTTTAGCTCTCACAGTTGCGCAGAAGGTCTCTTGTGCCCTTAATTTGACCCCATCTCACCTAGTAGTCAAGTCAAGAGATTCATTTTTTCTTTTAGTCGCTCCTCATTTTTCTTTATTTCACGAATCCTCTTCTAACCTGTTTTTCTCGGGGTCTTTTAGCTGTTGGCCGTGTGTATCAGCTTTCAGTGCACCTACCTGCCTTTTGCCACTTCGAGATGAACGACTCTTATTTAAGCCTTTTATTTGTCCCGTGGAATTTTTTTATTTTTAGAGTTCACTCGTTCTCTTCAGTAGGTGATTCACTGTCTCCTACAGACCACCTACAATGCGTCCAGTGATATACTTCAACCCAATCGCTCTGCCGAAGACAAAACATTATGTGTAAGTTGGTTGTACTACCACCTTCTCTAACTTCTTCTTAAATCTAAAGACCTCTCTGGAACCGGCATGTGGTCTCCCCTAAGTTCACTCCCGGTGACCCACAGCTTCGAATGTTCCTCCCCCCTTTCTGGATGAAAATGATTTACCCAGGTAAAGATTGCCCCAAGTGCCTGGCCGTCTTTAAGGTCCATCCTCAGTATGTTTCGGTTTCTCTATGTAATGCACTCCCCCTTCTAGGATGACTCAGTTTGATGTAAGACAGTACTTGGAGAAAATCTATAAGGTGCCCGTCGCCAGCGTCCGGCTTAAGATGCTTTACCACGATTGTAGGTCCTTGCCCTCGTAAATGGTTTACAGTAATTCCTCGTTTCCGTTTTAGTGGCACCTCTTGACGCTGCCGAAGATCCCAAAAGGGCTGCTGGATTTACTTTGCCCCATTCGCTTCCGAGGGAACCCGAGCGATACGAGAAACTAGCGTACGTGCACCTGGTGAGTGTCATGACTTGATTGCTTTGGAGTGGGCAGTGTTCGACGGGTTGTTTCCTCCATCTGCCTTCTTGGGAAAAAAAACTGTGGAATCTCTAAGCACATGACCCTACTTACTTTGGGTCGGAAATCGCAGTTAAACAAGCCCACCTACCAAACTATACCTGTTTTGGTGGTGCGGACCACCAGCATAGGATTTGAGCATCATTTAAATACTGGTACCATCGGATCTGTACTCTACTACTAGTCCATCCGTCGTATTCAACCACGTCCACCTTTATAAAGTCGAGTTTGTAATCTAACTGATGGGCAAGCACTTGCTCATCGGTGTTGTGGGGGGTTCAGAGGTGTTGGGCGGAACTTTGGGGTACAGGTAGGAGGTTTGTTGTCCACATTGTGATTGGTGTAAAAGTTTGAGCAAAGCGCGTTGGCTCAATTTTCGCGATGACTACGTTGAACACCCCACACGTTTTACTTCCACCTTAGAGCTACGCGCGTCCTACTGGTAGGTAAGCCACTATGGTCTGCTCGCTGTTGGTTTTAGTGTCGTGAGTTGAGGTCGAGTAGCTCCAAGGATACTGTTACTGGCGGTAGTAGAGTTGGTCTGAGTGTTGTGTGAACATGGATTCCGAGGTATCCAACTGAGGCGTTCCGGACCTGGGGCCACAATAAGCTACAGAAGTCAACAGAACGAGTACGCGTCCCACCAAATCTGGGTGACATCTATTTAGGATGTACGCGTCTGACAGCCCAAATTTCTGGCACAGCGCTGAGAGAAATCAGACGGAGACCTGCGTTGGCAGTCCTGATATTATCACGTCTCTGCAACAAGGGATACACTGTTTCACCGAAGACGGAGCCCAGTTTTGAGCTGCCTTTCCCTTTGTCGACGGCGTCGTTGATTTTAGCACATCAGCAGTGGACCTGCGGACGGTCGACGAATAACACGCTCAAACCGCTCCAGCCCTCCATATGGATGACCGTGGATACCTCAACGTTGTTGCAGAGAGTACGGATGGTCTCATTCGAGTCAAAGTTGATGTACTTCACTCAGAGATTGTCAACTATCTTCTAGCTTCTGTCACCCCAAAGTTTCTACGTCAATCTCACAACTTCGTCGGGTTGTCGGTAGCAAACGGTACAGGGTGTTGAAATTTTTGATAGCTTCCTTCTTAGCCATCCCTGCCTATAATTTTCGTAGGGGCTGTTTTGCGCAGCAAGTGGTTTTTTCGTAGCAATCTTGACTCCAAACCCCTTTTAGCCGCCTGGGCACGACTTCGAGTTTCCTGACATCTTCGAA